GAAATTGGAGCAGAAAAGTTAAATCTAAAGATGTTGCCAATCCCTGTACTCATAATTTTACTTCTGCCAGAATTATTACCAACCTGGAGACAGAGTTCTCTGCGCAACAGACCAAAACGCGCTGGAACTGGAGATCCTCGTGAGAGACGAAGACATAGGCGAGAACAGGGACTTTACCTGCGACATTGACTACGAAAAGTCAACTGCCGTGCCTGTAAACGGTAAGTGTTTAGTTTACAAACAATGCTTACTCGTAATCACCGAAAATGGAATAAACGCACACACACGCGAGCGCGTTTACTTGTGTACGTTAATATGGTGTACGTGTTGCTTACTCGTAATCACCAAAAGTAGAGTAAACACATACACACACGCGTCCTAATCGAAAAGAAACTCCTTGAGATACATCGTGTTATCTTCTCGTTGCAGGTGTTGATCAGCTTCAAGACTTTGAGCTCAAACGGGAATCCGACGGGTGCGTCTTGTATGTGAATTCGATCATTGACAGAGAATCAGGTCGACGATACAATGTGGGTATTCTTGGAAATGATGGGATTGATCTTCATTACTTTATGTAAATAGAAGAGCGTGTGTGTTTATAAGATAAATGTGTAAAAACAGTCACTTATTTTCATAGTTACATACTCCCTCATTCACGCACACGCACACGCACACACAGATAGGTAAAGAATAGACAGAAAGGCAGAGATACAACATGTATGCGCATTAATGCTCACATCGAGATTGAGGTCAAAGTACCGCATCCGTCCCGTTCCAGTGTACAGGGGTCTATAGGTAAACCCTCCCCCTCGCCCCATTTCTCCCCCATTCTACTTAGCAAACCCTCCCCCATTCTACTTAGCAAACCCTCCCCCATTCTACTTAGCAAACCCTCCCCCATTCTACTTAGCAAACCCTACCCCCACTTACTTAAAACCCTCCCCATTCTACTTAGCAAACCCTCCCCCATTCTACTTAGCAAACCCTCCCCCATTCTACTTAGCAAACCCTCCCCCATTCTACTTAGCAACCCTCCCCCATTCTACTTAGCAAACCCTCCCCCATTCTACTTAGCAAACCCTCCCCCATTTCTACTTAGCAAACCCTCCCCCATTCTACTTTAGCAAACCCTCCCCCATTCTACGCAAACCCTCCCCCATTCTACTTAGCAAACCCTCCCCCATTCTACTTAGCAAACCCTCCCCCCATTCTACTTAGCAAACCCTCCCCCATTCTACTTAGCAAAACCCTCCCCATTCTATAGAAACCCGTCCCCCATTCACGCAACCTCCCCCATTTCGCAAACCTCCCCCATTCTAATCAGCAAACCCTCCCCCATTCTATTGCAACTCCCCCATTCTAGGCAAACCCTCCCCCATTCCAAACCCTCCCCCATTCTAATACTTAGCAACCCTCCCCCATGCAAACCCTCCCCCATTCTATTAACAAACCCTCCCCTTCCCTCCCCCATTCTAATTAGCAAACCCTCCCCCCATTCTAATTAGCAAACCCTCCCCCATTCTAGCCAAACCCTCCCCCATTCTACTTACAAACCCTCCCCCTCTACTTCAACCCCCCATCTCTTAACAAACCCTCCCCCTTTCTAATTAACAAACCCTCCCCATTCTTAACCAAAACCCTCCCCCATTCTAATTAACAAACCCTCCCCCCATTCTAATTAACAAACCCTCCCCCATTCTAATTAACAAACCCTCCCCCATTCTAATTAACAAACCCTCCCCCATTCTTAACCTCCCCCCATTCTAGACAAACCCTCCCCCATTCATTAGCAAACCCTCCCCCATTCTAATTAGCAAACCCTCCCCCATTGAAGCAGTGAAGGAGCTTGTCTTTCAGCTTTCTCTGCACGTGAAGGACAAGGGGACGCCGCCTCGCGAATCCTGGGAGTATTTGGAGGTCATTGTCACCAACGCCTTCGAAGCCCCGCCTTATTTCTGCCTCGAAGGGATGTGCAAGGAGACCGTCTACATGAAAGGTAAATGGTTATGGATTCTTGTCGGTGATTGTTTACCTTTAGTATGTTTATAGATAAACTGTAGGGAGGTGTTTGTGAAGATAGTGATAGAAAATGTATATGTATATATAATATATATATATATATATAATATATATATATATATATATATATATATATATATATATATCTGGGCCACAATTTTCGACGAATAATATATATATATATATATATATATATATATATATATATATTATATATATATATATATATATATATGTGTGTGTGTGTGTGTGTGTGTGTTCTATTTTATTCTATTCGATTCTCTCAGCCCTTTTTAACATCCGATATTGGACATAAGCCTTCTTCCCCTGACTTTTCCTCGTCTTTCTTTCTTTCCTTCTTTTCTTCTTTTCTTTCTTCTTTTTTTTTTTTTTCCTTTTTTTCTTTCTTTTTCTTTTTCTTTTTCTTAGACGTGTTTTATGATGGGGAGAGGGTGGTCATACCCTACTACGCTGGCCCAGT